CTTCCATTATGGGTTGGCTATCAACCTTCCTCACATTGTTCCTGCAGGAGTCATATGCTCCCGCGATCCTCGTCTCCAAGGCGGGCCGCATCCGACGCGGGACCAAGAATTTCGCCATCCACGCCAAACAAGAGGAGATTGAGGTCGACTTTTTGGAGCTCGTTGACGAGAATTTCATGCGACCGGTCCGGATGCTGTTCACCGAACCCATCATCTTCCTGATCACGCTATACATGTCTTTCATCTACGGTCTGATTTACCTTTTCTTGGGCGCCTATCCCATCGTTTTCCAAGGTGTGCACGGAATGAACGAAGGCGTCGGCGGCCTGCCCTTCATTGGTCTGATCATAGGTCAGCTCTGCGGGGGTATCTATATCATGGTCGACCAGGTCGTCTACAAGAAGAAGCTCGCTCGCAACCATGGCGTTCAGGTTCCTGAATGGCGACTCCCACCCGTCATTGTTGGCGCCGTTGCCTTCTCGATCGGACTGTTTTGGTTCGGCTGGACAGGCTGGAACAGATCCATCCACTGGCTCGCCCCCACCGCTTCGGGCGTGGTGACTGGATTCGGCATTCTTTGTATCTTCTTGCAGTGCTTCAACTACATCATCGACACCTATTTGATGTTCGCCGCCTCAGCCATTGCCGCCAATTCTCTGCTTCGGTCATTCTTCGGCGCGGGTTTCCCCTTATTCGCGGATCAAATGTTTAACAATTTGGGCATCCAGTGGGCGGGCACCTTACTGGGCTGTCTTGCCGCAGTGATGATTCCCATTCCCGTAATCTTTTACCTTTGGGGCCACAAGATCAGGGGATGGAGCAAGACTACGGCAACGGCGGATGCGTATGGGAGTGAACAGGAGGAAATGCGGAGGCAGAAAGAGGAGACAGAGATCTGAGCTGCTTTTCTTTTTCGCTGGGCGGAATCCGTAATTGTGCCAAATGCACCTGTGGGCGAGATTGGTGTGATGTCTTGTTATTAGAGTGGCGTGCAGGCGTTTCTGGCACCATATCATGGTGGTATTGGAAACCCTAAGAGGTTTTTCTGGGTTTGGGGCCCCTTGCAGCTTTATTTTTGCAAGTCTTATCAGTGAGACACGACACTACACTACACTAGGAGTGTAGATACTCGGATTAAATATACATGAGACGGATATCTTAAGTCTCGTATAACTCCCACTACTGCTTCAGATACTATATATATACACACATACTGAATGCCCCGCGGACGTGGTAAGTTACATGTTGTAACATACCCTCTTGCATAGGAGGACACGACTTAGAAGAAAAAGGAGAAGGGATTCGAAGACAGGGTAGCGGGTATTTTTCTGGGATCACGGATGTGCTGTATCCTTTTATTTTATTTCTTCTAAAGAGGGAAAAAGGACGGGAAATAAAAAAAAAAAAAAAGGGAAAGATGAAATGCTCTGGACTCGAGGTTCTCTGCCTAGTCCTTGTCCTCGAACGTCTCAACAGGCCAGCGAGCACTGCTTTCCTTACTTGCTTACATGGTTGCTTTTCCTTCCCGTCCCGCTGTCCAAAAATGCAAACCGTTCGCACCACTGTAGCTCTTGATTCTGTGCCAGGTATCATATGCAAAAATGCCACTCAAGGCCATCCAAGTGACATATCCAATCCGCGCTGATGCTTTATCCAAATCCTGAGAGACACCAAAGTGACCACCCGGAGTGAGTGACCTAATCGTGACGAATGTCCAACCAACCACCTCCAGCGCAATGCAGCCTTGATCCAATGGAACTCGAGAAATCCGATGCTGTCGTGTCGTGTCGTGTCGTGCTTGTTACTGTGGCCTTTCGATGGCGGCGGCGAAGTCGACGTCGTCTTATGCAATGTCGATCCAGCTGCCCGTCAACCACCTGAATACCCATGCTTACTTGACCTCTTCCAGACGCCTTGTCATTTCGTGAAATTACCGCATCCGTGTATTAAGTCCTAAACGTCGGTACGTTCACTTCCTCATCTTCGCTTCCGCCTCCTCTAGCAGCTCCAGCGTTAAAGCTTGCGTTGATGGGCCGAGATCAATGAAGTCATCCCTTGGAAGGTCCCATGGGAGCCTTCTCTTTCCTTTTGGCCTCGGCGATGGTAACTCTGGCTTTTGGGTTTTATTTTTTGCGTCCGTTTGTGACTTATGCAGTCCTTCCTGAGCCTTGGACCGTAGAGGTGGCGGAGCCATCTGAATCGTCTTTTTGGGAGCCGACGCTATTGTTGCTGTTTGCTTCGGCGTCGCCATTTCCGCCTCCACGACCTCAGCAAGAGCAATAAGATCTTCGTCTTCAATTTCGTTGAACACGGAGTTGAAGCTTTCGGACAGACCTTTTGATTGTGCCTTAGGTGGAGATTCGCGAAAGGGAATGCCAGGGCGCGAGGCTGACGTTGGTGAATGCTGTTGCGTTGGTAGATCGTCTTGAAAGGACTCCTGTGTGGCGCATAGCATGAGAAAAGTCTCGTTATCTATGCCATCAGTGAAATCTTCGTCCATGTGCATGCAAAGGCGCCCTTGCTTTGACTCAAGAGAAGTTTGCTCTCCTTGATCTTCAGTAGTGGGCTCGGCTGCCTGCATATCCTCTTTCCTCGAACCGGGCTCAGCTCTGATGGTGTTCGTTGACAAGAGGGCCGGCTTCCGTCCAAAAAACTTATTCAATCTCGGTTGACTCGCCGTCACCTTTCCCCAAGTGTCCTCAATACTGATTCTGCCTTCCTCTACCATCTTCTGTCTGACGACACGATCTCTCTCAAGCTTCTCTTCCCGCTTGCGCTTGTTCTCAGTCCGTTGTCTCTCCTTCTCCAACTCTTTCTTTCGCTTCTCTTCTCGGGCGTCCAATTTGTCTGCGCGTGCCATTTGCGACGCAGTGTATCGGGGCCCTCCGATCCCCTCTTTCTTATAAGCCCGCTTGGCCTCCTTCAGGGTCATAGGAGGCTTCGCGGGCCGCGGCATCTTGAGGGTAAGGGTGGAGTGGGAGGGACGCGTGTTGAGCGAAAGACGCAGTCCACGAAACAAACAAGGATCCTGGGATGTTGACGCGATGGCTTGGGCTAAACAAATAGACGAGATGCACGTCACTTTAGGGCATGACGGACATGACGGAAGATTTCCGCATACACATCCTAGCGAGCCGGTTAACCTTCTCCGGCATTTTCATGAGGCTGAAGGATCCCGTTTGGTTGCGTGCCTGATCCAGCACCGCATTGTCATGATGTTCATGATGCTTCACTACCACGCTCGGGCTGTTCAGAGCCCTCGTCCTCCGATTCTATGTCTTCAACAGGGAATGTCAGGATGGCGGCAATGCCTCCCAGCCCCTCCAGGCGTCTCCCGCTCTCATGGTCGCTACTGAGGACTCTGACCTCTCCGCCCTCCACCTCTCTCACACGATCGACAAGTCTAACCCATCTTCGTCTCGTGGCCACATCCTGGCTTCGAAACAAGGCGTTGCTGATCAAAAGCACTCCTCCGCCGCGGCCAACTGCCCCTTTTTCCACGCATGTCTCGACCTCTGTCGGCCCATACCATGCCCGCCCATCGTCCTTGCGTAGGAGAGCATAGAACTCATCCATCAATGCAGTCTCGCGAGCATATTTTGTATCCTTCAATCTCACCAGCACCTCTGGGCTTTTGAGGACCTCGTTGAGACTGTGAAGGTGGCCAGAGCTACTGTGGACGACAACGAAGGCGTTCCGCTTCACCAAGTCTTGTAGCATTTTGTCACCTTTCGTCACTGCGGTTTCGCTGACTTGTTTCAGAAAGCCCGCAGCAGTGAATCCGGGACTCGCGAGCAAGATTGGGAAACTCATGCTGCTGTCTTTGTGCTCCATCAGTCCTTGAAGCTGTCTCAGCAGCGTGTCCAGCACGGTACTGTAGAATTTGGTTAAGCCTTTGTCGTGGTCGGCGGATCTTCCAGCTCCTGTCCGCTTCCGCGGGACCGAGACTTCAACTCTCTGCCTCAACACCGTCTGGAATTGTGTGATGAAGCAAATGTTGGCCAGGCCTTCCTGCATGACGACTGCAACTGCTTCGGTGCCCCTTGTAGGGTCTATAGCCTCTTCCAGTTGTGCGCGCGAGACGCTATCCCAGCCCCCCGAACCATCGTCGCCTTCGATGACCTTTTCGAGAGTGAAATTGCGTTGCAACTCTAGGTCGAGAGTGTGGAATTGCCCTATCTTTGTGTACCTGTTCTCCCGGGCAATCTGGCCTGAAACATGCAGTTGTCCAGCCTGCGGGTCGAAATCCAAGGTTTTCACCCGTATCGTGAGATTCGTGTGTACTCGCTGAGACGAGGTAGAGCCCGTAGACGCCGACTCGGTGGTTACTCGACGGACGGCAGAGGCAGTGAGGAGGTCTGTAGGTCGAATGAGGTTGTAAGCATGCCACTAATGGAAATCTCAGAATGAGTGCGACGGGGAGAGGAGAGGGCATGAAGAAAGTACCATGTCTTCAGGTTCTTCGGGACACAATGTGACATTCCCGCTACCGTCATTATTGATGTTCTGCTTGACCAAACGCATCGCGATGACCTCTAATCGTTTCGAACTAGACAAAAATACTGGTAGAAGCAGTGGTCGGTGAAACGAAGAAACAACTGCGACACTGGGCTTGAGCGGGGTCGGGGCTGCACTGTGGAGGAGGACCCTTTGCCGCTTTCAAACAAAGTACTTCGTCCTCAGTCCTCGTACACCTTCACCATCCATCCAGACGTTGATTCTCCCCCTTCTCCAAGCTCGATCGACAGGACTTCTATCCTTCCAAGATCCTCTCATGGCATGACTCCTGTCCAAGTTACCCGGTTTGATCACAGGCAGCGACGCTTTACCTAGGTCTATATAGGGCGGCTATGCTGTTGCACTTCTTCAGGCGGTAGCACTGTTGACTTTTACCACCGGATCCAGTCGCAGCATTTGCCTGCTGTGCCAAAGTCCATTCTTTTGCTATATTCAAATGAATGGCGCAACAACGGCAACCTCATTCAACCTCCCTGAACTCCTTAGACTGACTGCCAGGTCCACATATTCAGCCCCATCTTATTCCCTGAGGTCACAGGCATTCCAGCGTGCAAGGTCTGCAGATTGCCCTGCCCGTCTGCGCCCAGGTTATCCCAATACACCGCATTCCCTTGGATCGGCTTGAAAGTGACACCATCATCGATAGGCCGATCACAATCGACAAACTCGCACCACCACTCTTCCTCCTCTGGCGGTGGCCTCAATCGTGGGAAGTTTGTGCCTCCGCCGGTGCAGTTTGCATGGATGTACACGAAGAAGGTCGATGCCACGTTGCCGCCCACGGCATCAGCGTCGCCGTACCAGTCGTAATGGTCTCGATACTGCCCCGCAATGCCGTAGTTCTGCACAACCAGAGGCTGGAACTCGCCAACAGCTTTGTAAAAAGGAAATGCGCGAGCGCGGTCCTCGATTTCTCTGATGATGTCGTCCTTAGGCAGCTTGGCTGTCGTGGAGGATCGGTAGGCCGAGTCTCGATGGACTTTGCCTTCATCAGTCCAGAGGACCGAGGGGTTGAAGCGCGGTTCGCTATCAAACAAAAGTTCTTAGAGTCCTAGCCCTTAGGGACTTCAAGTGGCCTACAGAGGGGGAGATGTGCACCTACGCCAGCTGGACCAGATGAGACGCTTCTTGCGGAGTGATAAAGTTTTTTATATACACCACCAAGGGATCTTCTGATAGCAGGAATGTTGTCGGCCCATTATCAAAGGCAGAATTATTACCTCTCCAGAGAGGCATAAACTTCCAATCGAAATACCAGTGGCCGACGCCGAGAATGATTGCAAGGAGAGGTATCAGGGTAAGAGAAAGCTTCCCAGCCGGAGTCATGTTCACACATCAGAAAGACGAACTCGAGAGCCTGGTGACAGCTCTGAGCAGCATCTCAGTGAAGTTGAAAGGCAGGGCACAACACTCTTAGATTCGGTGGGGGTTGATGATGCGCAGCTTACTAGATACCATCGTGGCCCCGGTAAAGGCGCCGACTGGCTGTTTTTCTGTCTGCTGTTTTCATTCGGCGAGGGAACGTCTCAACTCCTAAAGAGTGAGGGTATTGCATCGCGAGGCATTATACACGTTCAAGCCTTGACTACCCGACGCGAGATGGATACCAAGATGCTCTTCCGAATATGGGTAGCAGTCCTCTACCTCATCAATATGTGCAAGGCTGAGCTCAACTACTCCGATGCCCAAACCCTAAATGCCCTTGTATCAGCATCCTTGAGCAAAAACAACATTGTTATTGGTGTCTGTAAGTAATGACCCCTTTCTATGTGTCTCCTTTCACTGATAATGTCTTGGAATTCTTAGTTTGTCTGGTATGTTGCTTCCTTTTCCGGCGGAGTTTTGATCCTGCTTGATGCGTCTGACACTTTCTCGACACAGCCCTGGTAGTAAGTTATACAAGAACCAATTTGGTTTGATCCCTTGATTGATCAGTGTCCAGCGAGCAATGCGAAATTCTGCGCCCTGAATTGGAGCTAGTCCTTGAGGCCTTGCGACCATGGCCGTCCGCCAAATTACTACTGATCAATTGCGAGGTGGAATCGGATGCTTGTTCTTCTTATAGAATAACTTCCTATCCTACTGTTCGACTCTTTCACGGCCCGAAACAGATTCGATATCGAGGCAAGTTCCGGGCTTCTTCGTGAGTGTTTGCTTTGACTACGTCGACTTCACAACCATTGACCTTCTTCAGCATTACTACCGAAGTTCTCAAGACTATTCTGCCACCGGTTTCCCGTTCTAATAGGCAGATTTTGGACACATTAAAGTCGTTGGACATCCCGCTGCTCCTGTTCACGGAATCTGAAGATGACACTTCCCAGTCGTCGACCGTGATAACCCAGGTCGCTGAAAAACTTCACGGCAAGCTTTTCGTCACGACCACCCACGACTTAACTCTGGCTGAAGAAGAAGGCGCCAAACTACCCTTTATAGTCGTCTTGAATTCCCTCGACGAAGTCAAGCCGGTGTACCAGGGCAAGGTTCAAATCGAACCTATTCTCAAATTCGCAGAAATGGCCTCAACGCCACTCATCGGCAGATTGGACCTGAAGTCTTACATAAAATACACACAGGTTCCATACCCCTTCCAATATCCTCACCTGTTCCTACTGATTGAGGCTACAGTCCGGATTACCCCTTGCTTTTATCCTTGCCGGGATAGATGAAGAGAGAAGGGCCCTCGCCGAATCGCTTAAGCATATTGCTCTCAACTATAAAGGCAGAGTTAACTTTGTAACTGTGGATACAAAGAGTCTGTCCTTCTTACTCGAGCCTCTTGGTGTGGATGGCAGACGCCTTCCGGCTTTCGCACTGCATCGTGGTGACAACGATGAGGTGTTTGTATACGATCAGAACCGCAAGGTCAATGCAAAAGATGTTGAAGTATTCATGCAAAGAACGCTGAATTGGCCGGACAAGGAACTATGAAGCAAACTATCCCTCCTAGATTGAGATCTAAGTCAAGGCCTCAATCAGCCTGGCGGTTCAAAGAGAAGCGAAATCTGCTTTCAAAAGCCCCTTTTCCATCTCTCCAAGTGGCGTCTTCTCTAACTTGGACAGGTTTCTCATCCGAATCACTCCAGTCTTCTCTTGGATCTCCATGATGCTGTGCTTGTGGTTGAGGATGTCGATTTGAGATGAGGGAAGAATTTGATTGTCACCATTCAGGCACGTGCCCTTCTTGGCCTATTTCACACCATTCTTCACAGAACAAACTTTGAACCTCGTCTGCAACTCACGCCGGTAGGGAGCCGTTCCTGTCACTCTATCATACCTTTTATATTCCTCTAGCTCTTACAGGTGTATTGGTAGTGACACTGCAATATGTTGCGCTCATGGAAAGCGTTGTTTGGCACCTGCCGCTCCCATATGTGCAAGGTACAAGATTGAGCTGTGGATTTTGGCCTCTACTTGGTAGTCAAATCTGCCGTGCTGAGGCAAGGTTGAAGGGTCGTCATGATCTGAGGCAGCAACCTCGGAAGGATATTTTTTGCTGCAGACAATGCAGCCAATGCATACCATGCAGGATATTTACAACACGGGCGAGGAGGTATTTTGAGTGTCAGCTAGCTGGCGAAACAAGTTGTAAACTGCCCAGTTAGCGCCGCCTTAAGTGGTGCGGCGGCTAGGAGCGATACGAAAGGCTTTGATGGGGTCGCGCGGCCGAGAAGTTCCTAGAACAGGGTGAATAAATGGCTTAGAGGACAAGAGGGACTTTTAAAATAAGCAGAGGGCGATTCTTTTGAGATAAAAGAGTGAATATAAACGTGCTCACGCATCGGTTGTAACGGCGCAAGTGGTTCAGATAGAGAACGCCGTAGCCTGCTGTGACACCCAGGATCCCCGTGGAGCACCAGGAGGAGCTTCAATCAAATTAAATCCCCCACCAAGGGCCACCAGTCTTGTAGGCGTCCCAGCTAATCAAGGCTACTACCTAGGTAAGTAGGCTAGTCGGCTGCCCCAGCCCGCCCAGCCTCCCAGAGTCCCAGGCTCCCAGGCTTGCTACCTGCTAGGCACACATTACACATTGCAAGGAGGAGACTTCTGAGACTCCACCGCTGCATCATATTATGTGATGTCTGCCGCTCAACCTTCGCCGTCCGACTTCCGTGCCAGGGACCAATATCAACTAGTCGTTTTCGCAATCCCCCGCCGCCTACTTTTCCATCACCAGATTGTTCGCAGCCTGCGTTCTGCGTCTCGTCCCTCACATTTTCGCATTTGCAATCTTGTCTGAAATACTCGGTACACCCTTCTGGCAGCTGTCCTCCTCCATCTGCGCCTCACTCAATCAAAGCCCCGACCGCCCCAAGCTTCTCCGTAAGCTATCACCTTCTGCATATTGATTTCACCGCTTGTCGATTCTTTTCAGTCTTTGCAGCGCATTCGCCCGGATCGCCTGTCATGGGAAGCTTCGTATTCAAATGGTGAGTCAAGGCGCATTGCTAGACGCTATTTTTTCAACGCCTCTGTATCCCCCTGTGGCCTGGCGTAAAGTTCCAACAGCCCGCTGACACCGGTTCCTAGGCCCCATCCAGAGGCCAACGATGTCCATGTCACGGGCACCTTTGATGACTGGGGAAAGAGTGTCAAACTAGACAAGGTCGGCGACATCTGGGAAAAAGAGGTGGATTTGCCAGAGGCCGACAAGAAAATCTTCTACAAGTTCGTCGTCAACGACCAGTGGATCATCGATCCCGAGGCTCCTCAAGAGGACGACGGCCGTGGAAACGTCAACAATGTGCTCCTCCCCGAGCACATCAAGCCCAAGCCGTCTATGGTGCCCGAGGCTGTGACCATGTCCAGCGCGGCCCCTGAGAGCACCACGGCAGCTATGGCTGGCCAAGTGCCCTTGGAACCAAAGAAAGAGGCAACTGAAGGTAAATTGACTGCCAGACCACGCCGATAGATGTCTAAATATCGCAATGCTGACCTTACCGCCCGTCTAGTTACACCTGCCTCTGAATCCCACCTCAACAACGCGCCCACTGGAAGCAGTGTGCCGGGCACATTCCCCGAGACTCCTGCAAAAGAATCGGACTCTTACGGTGTCAGTCCCTTGCCGCCCACCAGTGGCGCAGGCAATGCCATCGATCTTCCCGCAGGCGAAAAAGTTCCCCCTCCCAGCGAAGTCACTGCAAACACCACTGAATCTGCTGTGACCACATCAAAAGAAGATTACGAAAGCGCGGGCTCGGGCATTCCAATCATTGGAGGAGCGCTTTCTACGCTAGGCCTTGCAGGCGCAGCAGCTAAAAAGGAGAATTTAATTCCCGAGTCTTCTCTACCTATGGGCCCAGATGCCGGAAAGTCACTTGACGCTGGTCCCTTCATCAGCTCAGCTGGAATATCTTCGACCACGGCCGAAATGGCTGGGAAAGTGCCTTTGGAGGAAAGAAAGCCGGCGACGGAGATAGAACCTAGTGCGCAAGCAACCACATCTACGGTACCCGAGGTGGTCAAGGAATCAATCGCGGAGGCACATATCGAACCTGAAGCCACCACATCTGCTGAAGCGGTCAAAGAAAAGGCGGAAGTTGAACAGGAGCTGTTGAAGAAAGTGCCAGGGACTGATGAGGCTGGAGAGCCCGCACCAACGATTGCAGCCGCCACTACGGAGACGGCACCGTCACCCACTGCAGGTCCAAACGGCGGCATCGTCCCTGGGGAATCCTCTACAGCTGCAGCCGCTGTGGCTGACGGCACCGATGGGACGGCCGAGCCTATAGAAGCTGCGAAGCACCCGGTTGAAGCAGAGAAGACAGAAGGGGACACCACTGAATATGCCCCGCCCCACGCAGTAGGCGCAGCTCCTGGAGTGTCGGAATCTGCAGCTGCTGCAGTCTCTGATGGTGCCGAGGATCTTGCCGAAGAGCCTGCAGTACAAATGATGAACAAGAATGAAGCTGAAGCGGCCGCACCACCCGCGGCCGAAGCCACTACCACAACCGAAGCCCCCAAGGCGGAAGCACCTACGACAGCAGCACCGGAATCCAAGGAGGAAGCAACGCCTGCTGCCCCCACGAGCGTTACTGAAACGCCGACCAAGAAAGCAGAAACCACGCCAACAAGCACTCCTTCGCCTGCGGCGACCAAGGAAAAAAAGAAGAAGCATCGAGTTAGCTCATTCTTCAAGAAGATCTTTGACTAGATGCCAAAGACAGCCGCAGGATGTCATGCAGACCAGGGAAAGGCCGGCGAGTGAGAGAGCAAGCGAACGTACACAGCGGAAGTGGAGGCAAGGAGTGGATTTGTTGG